TATTATATAATAGAAAATCGAGTTTATTATTTCAAAGTGAAATAAAAAAAAATAATGCAACATGAAAAATATGCGTTTTGTATCACGACTCCAGCTAGTTGGAGTAGTAGATAAAACAACTTGTTTTCTTTATATTTTTATGTTTCAAACCGTAATTTTGAGGTTAAATAATTTAATGAAAGCAAAGACTTGATCGACATTAAAATAAAATTCAGCCATAGCCGACATAAAAATTTACTGAAAAAACAACGCGAAAAAATATTCTAGCCGTTCGGTAATTAAATTTTAAACGAGAGCAAAACTAAAACTCGAAATATGATTCTACTAAAAACGTTTCGCATCTCATCTCATCGCATCGCATCGAATGGACTCAACCCTTGAAATGTTCCATTCAGTCGCGAGAACATCGTTATACCATTTTATACAATGAAAAGTGAGGTCGCATCCTACGCTGACCTTAAGTGGACACGAGATGACCGATATGTTTGCCCTCGAGTGCGAGCGGGACGGACGTATACACACGAGAGCCCACTTCACACATAAATGGTATCGGATTCGTGCAAGGGAGATGCGAGTAGCGATCTCAGATACGAGGGAAAGAGATGAGAAAACTGGAGTGGTTCGATGGCGCACTCGATCCTCAGATGTTTAAAGGAACGAGATCAAAAATGTGTACAGAGCTTTAATAAAATAAATGTCAGTGTACAGTGGCTGAGGCGGTGGCTGAGGCTGGTGGCTGCATGGGCGCGGGGCCTTTGCCTCACATTGTTAGCGACAAGTGTAGTCTGCTATTGGAGAGGTTTCTCTCTGACAGCGAATACACGTTATAAAATAAATTGTAAACTATTTCTTAGTCAACATTGCAGATGGGTTTCCCTCGTAAAGTGTTCACTAAAGTTTCCTACAAATTGTAAATTATGTTATGAAATTTTACGTAGGATGCTTTTTTGCGTAACAGCATTTGGTTGCAGCACGTTATACCCATATTTCTATAGATATTCTCACTCAGCGATGAATCTAACTTTATACTTTAATTAAAAAATGTTTAATGTAAGTTATTGAATTGTAAAATGTAATTAATTCGAGTGTCACAAGTGGCCGCAGAGAGCAGTGATCAAGCCGCAAGTGGCAGAAGACACGCGCCGCTCCTGCCCCTCGCGAGCCCTCGCAAGCCCTCGCAAGCCCTCGCATGATAAATACAAAGCCGTCGATTTAACAGACAGCGATATGATATTAAATAACGTGGCCGCCGACACCCCGACCAGGTGACGTCACAATGCGGTCAGTCAACAGACATACTTTATGTCATAAACATAGATACGCAACGCAACAAGCGGAACAATCAGCACATTAATTTGTCTTTTCAAATTTAATTTGAAAATTGTGTTACAACGTCTGTGTTTTCACAACATGTTACATAAGTGTATTGTAGCAAAATGTATAGTTCAAATAGCTTATGTTGCGAAAAAGTAAAAAAGGAAGAAAACAAACAGTAAGAGACTGTGTAATAAATGTTTTAGCACACGTTTGTCACCATTACGACTGCAAACTCAATGCAATGATCATAATCAGTTGGGAGCAGGTCGTTGCGGGCCGCTGTGTGTCGGAATGTCTGCGGAAACTATCACTATATCCACCCCGAGCACAGCGGCCGCGTGCCAACACGACACAATATCTGTTCCCGGTCTCACACCCAAGACATAGGAGCGAGCGATTTTATGATACATTTCTCACGCCCACAATGTCGTCTGCGTGGAATTAGAAATGAATCCGTAACCCGCGCGATATTCTAGTTTGTAATCTATCTCAAATTCAAACAGCCGTTCTTATGTAATGTGCTAGCAACCAAACTTTCGAATTCATAGGAAAGTAAGTGGTAAGATTAACAATTGCTCTAACCAATATTATAACTGCCAATATAGTTATGTTGTTACAATTTCCAGACACAACAGATCAATAAAACAAGGTAACGCACTTCTCTATACACATTGACGTACTATTTGATGTAAACTTTTTATTTTAAATACTGGATCCGTATCAGTGTATGTCTTAGAGTGCGTTGAGGCGGGGAGAGGGCGGGGGCGGTCACATTCTTGCAGTAATGTCGGCGACAATGCGGCGGTGTCACTTCATATTGCTTCATATCTGATGAGGGAGACATTTTATGTGCACTAATATAATGTGCGTGAAGACGACGACACGAGCCTTGCTACTACTTGCTAACCTACGAAATAAGTGCTACGACAAATAACACTTACGCATGAAATTTATAAGTGAAATTAGTAAGTATATACCAATTAAGTTTTATACATTGGAAGAAAACGACGAAATCATTGTCATATCGTGACATTGAATCAACGACCATAGCATAAAGAGTTCGAATGCGGTGACGCGGTTACCGACGTCACGCGACGTCAGCGGCAACTTTTCACAGGGAAGGGGCTCCATCAGCTTGTGTTATTACATTAAAGTACATAAGAGCACAAGCCTCAAACAGGGTGTCAACTCAACACCGCGCCCCGCTCCTCTCACCCCGCACCCCTCACCCCGCACCTCGCGACACTTAGCATTGCTAAGAGAAAACCACTCGACGTTGCTCGCTTGGGAAATAAAACTGTGATTCAGTAATCAAAATAATTAACAGATTGATGTTTGCATCCTTTGTGTCGGAAAACCCATTACATGGTAATGTCAGCGGACTGCTCCGGGCAAGCATACGAGACGCATTCGCAATGCGTTTAGATCCAATTTCATCGCTACATATTTTATAGCGTAGAAGTAAAGGGACAGGGCTTATTCGGCAGCTTTAAAAGGTATTCAGAAAAGACATTGACAGCATCGTCATCGTTGACCCATTTGACCGTTATATTGAAAGTGATTTGGTCGCCGTTTTGCCTTTTTAAAACTTACAAATCTTCAAACAGAAGCTATGATATACTTTAGACACGAAAATCTATCATAAATATTGTAGTTTGTCGACAGTGTATTTGTGTTGTTTCTCAGGTCGGCAAGCACGTCACGGAGCCGCGTCGGCGACTCACTCAACTTAAACACGTTCAAAAGCTAAAAACAGCCGAAAAGCAAAGAAATAAAAAATGTCTGAACATTTCCACGAGTGCGGGGGCTTTCTCTTAATTAATTGAGCGCGGCGCCCATTAGTCGGTTAAATGTATTACAGTCTTAACTTGTGAATTAACCTGCGGTGCGGCCGCGCGCCGGCAATTACCGCGCGCGCCCCAGCCCCGGCCCCAGCCACGACTGTAGCCAGCGGCGGCCCACTCGCACCCGGCGACACGACCACGACACGACATACAAATAGCTCACAACACAATATCCGTTCCTTTCAGATGGCAACAAAACAGTCGAAGATTCCAGTAAACAAATGTTAACCTGTTGAGCGATACTAAAAAAATCGTAGCAAGTGCGCTAAGAATGTTGGAAGGCATTCTTTTGGGGAATGTTTGTCATATATTTAGGCGTTTATATATCGTGTCGTCGCCGTGCAGCACGCGTTGCCCCGGCTGCGTCGCGGCGGTGTGGCGGCGGTGTGGCGGCGAGGCGGCGAGGCGCGGCGAGGGCGTGACGCTCACAGCGCCGCCGCGACCTCGCTCTTGTGCACTCTGTAGCTTTTTTCTGTGCACCAACTGGTTTTGTTTGTGCCCACACCTTTATGTGGTAAGTAGACGCCGCTTTGTCTACGCGCGATGTAGACTTTTGCTAAGAAACTCGCTCGACGCTAAACTTAATTGTATAAAAGCAAACACGACTTGCATACACACGTGCAATTTAACAACGTTTGTATAATTCCTTCTATTGAGCGGCGACGTAATGTTGTAGAAATAGTAGAGGCAGGTATGTTGAAGAAACATTAACAGCAGCAACGCTTTAAACATTTCACTCCGCTCGTTCGCCGCTCTAACAAACAAGTGTCGCTATTGAGGCGGCCCGAAACGAACAAATTAATTGGACTCGGAATTCCGATCGGACTCGAAACTTTATAACAAGCGAGGCCATCGTCTGCGCGACGAGTGCTGAGGCAGACAATGCCTCCGAGAGGCAAGGCGCGAGGCGCCTCACGCCTCTCCAATGCTTTCTAGAGAGACGAGCACGAGCACCGATGCTGATGTTTTTTGTGCCTGTTCAACTACTAGTCCTGCTCTGGAGGTAATGACAACTAAAAGATGATAAAACCGGCATCTCAAATACGGCGATAGACATTTTTTGCAACTCCGAATGTGGCGCGTATTTTTGTGTATTAATGATCTTTATAAGTAGATAATACCTTTATTTGATTTCTTAATAACAAGTAAAGCCGCTTACTGACGACACTCACGTAACAAATTCCACGAATCGTTTTGTTAGCATTCAAAATTAAAACCGAAAAGATAAATAAATTTAATTTTTTTTAATGGAATAATAACCACTTCTATTTATAATATTATTAGTCCATATTATTCTCAAACCAGACACAATGTCAACAACATGTGGATGCGGCCGGCGTTTGCCAAAAAAAAAGCCACACGGACATTTAAATTTAAATTTTCCTTGTTCTCGCGCCGATCTCGATTAATTGATAGATTTTTGTCGAAGGGAGAAATAAGAAAGCTTTTTTTACTCTTTTGAGTTGAGATTAGTGGCGGTAGGGCGTCGTCAGCCGGCGCTGGCGGGGATGGCTGTACAATGTAAACAGCAGACCTCACCGCTCGTTAGATTTTAATTACATTGCCCACTTCACTGCCATCGGAAAAATAACTGATGCAAAATGGTAGGGAAATTTGTTCCAGATTTTAATTGTTCCTTAATTCTTGTTCTGATTCATATATTTACATAGATATAACATTAGTTGGGCACGGAGAAGTCCTTTATTCAAATGAATCGGTTTGTGAAACCTAACTCGTAACTTTTGTTGTGATACAAGCATCGCACTCTGTTCATTGCCGCTTATGTTCTACAATACCGGAACATCATGAAACAAAGAGAGAGTAAATAGTTTCGCTTACCAGGCGAGTCATCGGGCAGGTCTGTGTAGTGGTGCGGGTGCGCGCCGGGGGGTGCGGTGGGCGCGGCGGGCTGCGGCGGAGGTGCACCATACAGCAGGTTCAGCTCGCGCGCCTCGTTCTCCTCCTGCGCCTGCTGCCGCCGCAACGCCACCTGCACATGTCACGTCACGTCACGCCTGACTGCTGCCTGAGTAGCGTCAGTGTGACCAGTCAGTAGTTGCAGAAATTGAGTAGCAGTTACCTGCGCGGCCATGACCCGCTGGCGTTCCGCGATGAGCGTGCACTTGGCGCAGACGCAGTCCCGCCAGCGGCAGTAGCGCTTGTGCCCCTTGAGCGCGGACACGACGCCGTGGTTGCGGCACCGCGCGCACTTCGGCGTCCGCTGTAACATCAACAATATGTTACAACACCAGCACTATGTTACAATACAACAACACAGTGTTACTCATTATGAACGATGTTCATGTTCTTCAAATCACATGTGACAATATTTCTAGAGCAAGATATTCACCGCAGATGTTCAGTACATCCAGAGTTTATGTAAACTAAATCTAAGCAGCCCAGCGCCAGTAGTCGGGTGTTATCGCATCACAGCCGCTTGTTCAGCATCCGACAGCGTTTTGTTTGTGCACATCACCAGTGACGGAGAAAATTATCTTTCAATGATTTAACGGTGACATGAACTGTCTGCTAGTGCCACAAGACCGAGTATTATTGCAGGCAACTTTTAAAGTTGAACTTTCATTTGTGACTACTGCTTAACACACTTAAGAAAATTGTGTACAACAAATAGATATATAAATATTTACAATCAACGGATATGTAAAGTAAAAGCTGAGAAGGACTGTGTATGTTATATTGTTCCACTTCCGCCGCCGCCGGCCATTGCTCGACACACAACTCTCACCGCAACATTAATTAAACAAAACACTTTATGGATAATGTCCATCATTATCATCGAAAAAGCGACTAATTGCATTAAATCATGTTTTTGTAAAAAAGAAATATATTTACACTCTATATATTTCAAGACATCATCAAAAGATTCTTCAATTTCTTTGCACGTTCAAAAATAAACTGCAAAATCACTAGAATGTTTGACATCAAAGAATTAGAAGTTATATGATTCAAAACAAAAAAAGGTATCTTTATCCTTTCTCTATCCGAAAAAGGATGAAAAGTGTAGTTTACTACTAAACTATAAAATATTGTGCCACAAAGCATTTTTTTTATATCATAAGGTGGCAAACAAGCGAGCGGCCACCTGAAATCGCTGAAATAGCGAAGTGACCGTTGCCCATAGACATACGCAATTGCATATGCGTTGCCTACCTTTAATCGACGGAGGAGAGGATGCACAGAGAGAAAATATTTTCCCTTCCCATGCGTCCTCTCATCCGGAAAGTCCACTTTCACTTCCCATCCTTTCCTTATAAGAAAAAGTTTGGGAAGGGAAAGAGGACTATATTAGGCCTCCGGGACGCACACTCATCAGACGAAACGCGGAATTGCTTCCACTTCACACCTGTCTTCTGTGTGGTCGTGGTATTTCACCGGGCGAGCCGGGCCGATTCGTGCGAAGATGTTAAAGCGGGCTCTAGCACTGTTGCATGTTTGCATGGAATTAAAATTCATAAGCAAATCGCGGAGGCGACGGCGGCGCGCCCCTTCCGCAAAGAGCAACCGATACCCTACAACTGCAAACTGCGTTCTTTGTAGACTAATTACTGTGTTACAATATAATTACAGTGTTACACTTCAAGTTTATTGTAACAATATTGTGTTACAATAGACGAGAACGCGTTACATTATTTGATAACAATCCGCGCGATATGTAACACGACACCGCTCCGCTAGCAGACTGCTCAGAAACTATCCTTATACTGTAATTATGTTACAATACCAACAAAACATTGGGGAGTTACTATTCAAATAAATCATAAAAGTTACTTTGTAATAAAATTAATAAGTACCTGTATCAAATTCATTAAAAAAGGCACAAAAAAAATGTTAATAACCTTAGGTTAAGTTTAAACAATTTTATTGTTAAGGAAGCGAAAGTCAATAACCTTATTGAGTTCTAGCATTTGTCTGATGTTAATTGAGAATTATTTAAAATTTAAATAGATTTAATGAGCTAAAATAATAAATAGTTAGAAGAAGTTACTTAGCTTGTTGTTAATTTACTTGTCTTTGTAAGTTAAACATTTACTTAAATAAGCTGCATTTGTATGTAAATCATAATCAAGTTACATTTTTACTGTCAGAAACATTTTGACAAAAAGCTTGTTGATAACATCAATAATCATAGAAACTTATCATGAACACAAGCGAACTTTGAACAAAGCCTAAAATAAGAGGATATGAAGTGAAGCCAACGACATTTGGAGAAATGTACGCCCCCCACAAAACATCTTAGTCGTTTGTATATTTTTTTATTTAAATACTTGTCAATGTCCGTTTCAAAACACAAAAAACCTACAAATTTATAAGTTTAAATTTTCGGGAAAATCACCATCGGGAGAATTGGAAAATGTTTTTCTAACAAATGTGATATCTGTGTGTGTTATCACATTTTAAAAGTAAAACATCTAAACAATTTAACTAAACTGTAAAACCCCTAAGGTTTACCTTTACTTACAGGAACGCATTCAACATTTTTTAATGTTTTGATACATTTTTTTTAATTAGTTGACTTTTTTGTGAATTGTAAACAATTACAAGTTATTTGAGGTTTATATGAAAATGTTGTGTATTTGACTAGTTTTGTCCGTGTAGTCCGTGGTAGGTACAATCGGGGAATCTGACAGTGTTCTACATTGGAAGCTGCAGCTGTATGAATGCTTTCTACAGTATATCACGCCGATGAGGAGAGAACATCCAATAGGACGCAGCGCGGTGGTATCTGTACGAAAAAACATGGGTAGCTCAGTGGTACACTAATAATAGCTATTGGCTAAGCTATGGCGGAGGCTGTTTTTTTTTTTGTAAGTACAACACCGCGGATTTCCGTGAATGTACCTATTTAGGTATATTATTCTCAGAAAATAAGATATATAAAAAAAAATAATTTTAATTAATATTCATGTGAAAATATAAATCAAACGCTAAAAGCTCATGAAAGTTTTTGTAACTATTTTGAAATGTATAAAAATATTTTTTGATATCTCAATGTGAATGCTCGTGAGCGCGTGACGCGTGGAGGAACATTATCAACCTCCCACCTCCCACCTCCCATCTGATGCAAAATAACAAAAAAAACTATAAAAAAATACACTTGTATTTTTTTCTGACTTTTAACAAAGTTTCTGTTTTTCGTATTGGAAAAATTAAGAAAAGCCGTATGTATCATCGTACACGATGAATTATAAGTGAAGTAACCTGCTAGATATACTCGTTGCAAGTATAGTAACAATATATTTGCAAAATCTAGTCACTGAGTCCAAATGCTACTCAAAGTAACAGTCGGACATTACAACTGTGCCTTGCAACTTTCACAATGTTTACTGTAGGCTAACATTTTGATATGTACCTGGTATCGTTCTGAGGCACGCAGGAAAAAAGGCGGCAGCGCGGCCAGCACCGGGTGCTGCACCAGCTGCGACACGTCCACGCCGCTGCCCAGGGACATCTCCATCGCGCCTGACTCCGCACAGACCGCGTCTCACCGGTACCAGAGTCCGCTCGACACCGATCAGGCGCGCCTCGCACACATCACAACACAACAGACTCGGACTGCGACACTTGTGGTGAGGTCGCGGGCTCGCGGGTGTGCTAACGCGGCGGCAACTGTTGCGGTTGTTGCGAGCGTGCTGCCACTGTAGCGGGCCTGTTGCGACTGTAGCCGGGTGACGGCGGGCGGCGGGCGCGCTGCCACACTGTAGACACTGTAGCCGTCCCGCTCCTGCCGCGCCCGCCGCCCCCCCCCGCACCCTCCGCGCGACCCCCCGTACCCGCTACACTGCACTACACTTGTATCCGCGGGTTATATAAAGTGTAGAGTGCGCGGGCCAATGGGCGGCGCGCACTCGCCGCCCCCCGCCCGCCATTGGCCGAGCGCACAAAATTATAAAGGTGACTTTTTGGAGAACGAGTTTTTGTATTACAAAGCGCTATTGAATGAGGCACAAAAACACACAATTATGTTTGTTAGCGATCTCTTTTTGTGTCCATTGTTCGCCTTTGTCGCAGCTCTTGCTGGCGGCGGGCGGCGGGCGGCGGGCGGCAGGCGGCGGTCTATCGGCGGGTCGCTAGCGGCCGCGCCCGGCGCCGCCCGCCGCCCGATGCATATCCCATCCGTGTGAGCATTTATGTGACAGAAACTCATTAATGCTTTCACGCGACGAGATGGATCGAGTGATAACACTCTGTATGACACACAAAAGGTCATCAGTGCGCTTCGCTTCGCTCGTATCAAGTTAAAACATCTCAATTAATGCGACTCACATCTATTCAACACACAAAATGTACGGTCGTTATTCATTATCTGTAAACTTTACACGTACATAATGTATTTGTTCTTTCTATTATATAGTCTACATACAAAGGAAAATAATGTAGAGCGAAATATAGTCGTTATTTTTTTATATGAAGAAATGCAAAATACAGTCAAGCGATCGCGCTCGCAGGCGGAGACGCGGGAATAATGAATCGTATGTTCCTGTTGTCGTCTCTCGTATTATAATTCTAACAAAGTACAATATTTGTTCAACATGTTTTCCTTAACAAACAAATACAATATAGTAAATACCAGACAAAAACTTCGGTCACAACAACGACAGGTGACAATTTTGTCTCCAGCTTAGTCCTGCTTAATATGCTATACCATCAAGAGCTGACATAACATAGAGTAGAGTAGCGACCATAATCATTTATCATCATGTTGAATTTACTGTCACTCCTCCACAGTCCAGGCTGGTCTCATTTACCTCAAAGTGCGCTCCTCTAGAGATGTGATGTTACATGTGCCGTATTGTCGCCGCTTTTCCACGGTTTTCCCAACTCCGCGCAGATATTATATGTGTCATAACATTTGCTCAGCTCTCGATATATTATAACAACGAACATAAATGAAACTCCAATTGAGTCGAGCCTCGCGCCGTCGGGTCGCGGGTCGCGGGGGTGGTGGTGAGGAGGGGCGGAGAGGAGGACGAATTGAAATATTTCAATTTACTTGTCGCCGGGAATTCGATTTAAATTACAATGAGAGGCGACGCGCGGCCTCCGAGCGGGCGGGGGGTGCGCGGTGGCGAACGAGGGATGCGCGGGGGGCGCGCGGGGGGTGCGCGGGGGGTCGTGTAATTATTAATGTATAACTGAATGTCTGCGCGTATCGGAAATTAATAGCGATCGCTTATACAGGGTGTCAGCGATCGGGGGGTTTGTGCGGGCGGAGGTCAGGGGGTCCGGGGGGCGGCTTTGTTCCTGCAGCCACCCCCCGCTGCAGTTGACTATATCTGAGGTGATATTAATTAGGATGTTAGCAATTAGTTATAATAGCTGGTGCTCGAGTGACAGAACAGGTGGAAAATACTTGTCGCACATTCAGTTGATGACTTAATAAAAAGAAAAGAAATTGCAGTTCATTCTTCTTTATTTGAATTAACATTAAGCAATCAGGAATGCATACTGTATTGTTTTGAGATTAGCGCTATGTCAGTTATAACGAAAATGTACATTTTCACAATTCATGAAACATTACAAATATATATTAAATTATTGAACTGTAACGCTAATATTAGTGTATGAAGCGGCGGGCGCTGGGCGGCGGCAGGTGTG